TTACCAATCATTTCTATTCGCATATATTTATAAGTTCGTTAATTACACGGAAATATCACCGGTTTGTCGGTTTGCGATACTCATGGAACAGGTATTCAACGCCAATATTGACTATTTTATTATTGCTATAATAATAAAGATAGTAATACTGTGTGCGAAAAACCAGTTAATACTTTATAAACTTTACAACAATTGACACTATATTTAACATTTAAGGTCCGAATGTCAATGAAATCGCATTCATTTATAGAGGAAAACAGATACCGAAATGTCGAAGTGTCCAAAGGTTTAGCGAATAAAACAACTTATTCAGCAATTTTCAGATAAAATACAATTATTTTGCACTCAAATTGACAGATAAGACGAGACGAGAAGCGCCCACAATATCACAATTCATGTATTTTCTGATCGCACCGACACTACTCTATAGAGACAATTATGTTAGGTATAAAAGAGCTAGTAATGGACAGTTTGCATCATGATAATCTAAATAAACTAAATTAAATGCTCTAGAACGAACAAGGTGCGATGGAAACTAGTGGTATGGTATTTCCTTCAGGTGCTATTCATCATGTTCTGCATGTTTGCCATCAGTTGGCGATTCGTTGAGCACAACTTCAAGTGGACGGGCGTTAAGCCGTTCACAATCCGACAGTTGGCATATCTACTGCTGAGCGGCTCATTGGTCGGCATACAACTCAAATTGTTCATGTTTTACGGCCTTTTGCACTGTTGGCTCAATGGGTTCGCAGAGATGTTACGGTTCGGGTATCGAGAGTTTTACATGGATTGGTGGAACTGCTCGGACTTTGTTGTCTTCTATCGCAAGTGGAATTTTATTGTTCATCTCTGGCTCAGGGCTTATGTCTACGACACCAGTCTCTATGTAATGGCTTGTATTCTGCGCTCATTTATTATAGACTTATATCATTTAACTTTGTTGTCTTCTATCGCAAGTGGAATTTTATTGTTCATCTCTGGCTCAGGGCTTATGTCTACGACACCAGTCTCTATGTAATGGCTTGTATTCTGCGCTCATTTATTATAGACTTATATCATTTACGCCAAAAACAATTTTTAAGTGCTATTTATGTCTTGAATTTTAATTATCTCAAGTGTTAATATTTAGTACACATCAGGGAATAGAGACATATCAGCGCTGGTAGTGTTCATCCTATCGGCGATAATTCACGAATATATTCTTGCGCTGGCTTTCGGCTTCTTCCTACCCGTGCTCTTCATATCATTCGCTATTGTGGGAGGTATTCATTCATATCATTCAATCATTCATTTATTTATATGAATATTTCTCATATGAAAAGTCATTCAAAAATTATAAAACTAGCATTTCATTCATCTATTGAAATATAGAGCAATTAATTGTTGTAAAAAAAGTTTAATTTATAGAGAAATTGAACGGTTGTTTACATGATTATCACGTTCAGCCCAAACAACTATTAACTGATTGTTTGCATTATTCACTAGTATTGCTTTTTTTCGTCGGAAAATTCAAGTCCAAGGGCTCGACGAACAAGAATTCAACGAATAAAACGGCAAATAATAATCATTTGCATTCAAATATACAAAACACATCACTTTCATTGGGAAATATGTTAATGTTTGTGAGCCTAAGCCTGGGTTGGGGTCTATTGGTTGTGCTCTATAGCATGGAATGGTATTCAAGAATTAATTGTCCGACAAATGATGTAAGCCTTTGAGTACAAAAAACAAATCATAAATTCATTACCATATCATTACATAAATATGTTTTATCAAACAAAATAATTTTATTTAGAAAACGTTTTGGAGTTATGTTTTGCCGAGATTTTGGACTTGTATTACCATTAAGTGATTGCATCAAAGAATTGCCATTTGATTTCATAATTAATTTTAATAGGAAATTATCATAATTACTATTTTTGAATAATTCATTTTAGAGTAAAAAATAAATTTTAATTACTTTTGATAAAAACTTTTACAACATTAATGTGTGCGCAAATTGATTGAATTTTCAAACTAAATGTTCAAAAGTATTGCACTGAAGGGAGAGTACGGTCCACAACATAGGCTTAAAAAAGTACAAGAATTAAGCGAACAAAACAAATATTCAATACTAAAAAACTGGATGTCCTTCACTTTGAACACAGAATTTTCACGTGAATTAAAAATATTATTAATAGTTATGTTTTGAATAAAATTCTCTCTCTCTCTCTCTCTCTCTCTCTCTCTCTCTCTACGCGTACTTCGTTTTGGATGAATATTTATTCATTCAATTGCATACACAATAAGTTATATATTATTGTCAATATAATAGTCGTTAAGGAAATAGTGAACAGTTTTCGCTGTTTATTGACGAATAGGAATATGAGATGAAAACATTTTCTCATATAAAAGTTTTATACAATTATAGCGACAGGAAATACAGTATATAGATATTTACACACATATACACACGTATTCATATGTAATGATCGGAATCCTAATGATTTGTTAGACGATTGTTTACTCAAAATAGTTAACTGTTGATGAATTATTAAAAATTCATAAATACATATACCTATTGAGAAGCGTCTGGAAATTGTTGCGAGAAATAAGTGTATTACTCATCTCATCAGCAAATTGTTTGCTATAAAAACCAAAGCAAACATTTAATTGAAAATAAGTTTTCCCCTTTTCATTACTCACGCCATACAGTCTTATAGGCTATAAATTATAGCGAAAAAAGTTTGCGATTTCAAGTGATTTTGTGAAAAATATTCAAATTATTCGTTTCATATCAAAACTTGTAATCACTTAATCATTAATCTTTCCGCAAATATTTTTCATACCAC